AAGCTAACGTAAGGCTAAGCACATGGCCCATCGCATGGCAACGCGTAACCACTACTAGGCTAAAGGTTAGCTTGTTAGCACTTAGCAACCCCCGTTTTTAAGACACAGAAGCTTTTGTCATTCTCTGGTGGAGTATTTACTAAGGCATTTTAAGTCGTAGAAAAATATGTGAACATCTCTAACCAGAACATTTACTTCAGGCAAATTATTTAAACACGTTAAAAAAAAACGTTGATTCAGACATTGGAACCCTTAAGTGCTATCTCAAATCTATGTTTTAGGATTAATTCTTGCACCTCTCTCAAGCTGGGTAATATAAGGTGTTTTTGAAGGAAAGCCCCTTTTTAACAACTTTGAGGAAGTACTGTGTTTATCTTCTGGTTCTGTCTTCCCATACCTTCTCTCATGTGTTTCTGTCTGCTGTGTTTGGCAGACATGTTAGTCATGGTGGGAGGTCTCAATCGGCGCTGGGTTCTGACAGACGCACAGCATTCAAGTCAAAATCCTGGGTGGGTCGGTCTCCAGTGCATATGTCCGTGTGCTGTGTGTGTGTTTATCCTGGGATCCATTAGTCCATTAAAAGCACACTATGGTCTACACTTGGCCCCTCAGAACCAGCCACGGTCCCAGACTCTCAAAGGGAGATTTCCGACCTGATCCAAGTGCTGAACCGGGTTTGTTTCTTTCATTTTGAGAAGGGGAAGTCAGGCCTTCTCAATTTTGGGTAGTAGTAAAAGACTATTGTTTTGAGATAGGCTTATCGATATGTGTTTCTTGACCCACACAAGCTTTCTCACTCCACCAAAATATGAAAAGGATCAAAAGTGACATAGTGACTCAGAAATCTAATTTCTGGCTATTAGTGTGGTACTGTAGGACTGCAATTTCTTGGGGCACCTGTGCGTGTGTGGGTGTGTGTGTGTTGTATCTTCTTTACTATTGCCTCCACGTTATGGGACGCAAAACTTGTTTGTTGTATGTTTTTGTGGTCTCGAATAACAAATCAGCTGACTTTGTAGTACATTTTAAGATTTTCTTACATTTTTTGTGGAAGACATGCTCTGTAATGATTGGGTTTGTTATATTCATCCCAGCTCTTGGTTACAGTGGGTCCATCAATATTGTAACATGTTATGTCATAATTGTGGTAATACGCCTAATTTGTCCCTGTAGTAAAAAGCAACTACACCACAGGGGGAAGCTAGACATTTAAAATTAATTATCTCTTTTTGTAGGACTTCTCTGCAGTAACCAAAAAAACGGTTTTAAAAATGTATACAATTGTTATGTATTAGAACTATATTTGTTTTGATGGTATCTGAGTTTTAATAAATGGAATCATAATGAATGTCGCCAATATTAAATTAATTTTGACTTGGCGAAGTGACTAGCAGCCTACAGAGATTTCACCGCATTATTGGAACATGTTCACCAGCATCGTGAAATGCTTCGTTTGAATTTCACAAAGAAGTATTTCTGCATGTTTGTTACATATTTTCAGCAGGTTGGGCTTCATTATATTTAGGGAGAAAATGCTTTGTTAACTAGGTTGTAATAACATCATGATCAGCCATGTGTGTTTAGGTGTGTGAATACTGTATGGCTGTGTATAATGGAAAACCCAGCCTGGTGTTAACTCTGGCCAGTAAAAGATGAAGTCACTCCACTACGTTGTTACTTTCTATTCAACAGTTGCATGTAAAAGTGTCAATGCTTGTTCCTTTCACAATATGGCCCGCTATGGATCACTCCAATGAAAGGGTTCAACTGTAGTCTTTTGTTGTACAGTTCAACCTTTTAAAGAGACCTGCATTTGCAAATACATATTGGCAGGAAGTTTCAACATCTGTCATCCAACTGAACTTGACTTGTTGGTTCACTACTGATTTTTAAATGTTCTAATGGTCTACATTTCTACCAACGAAACTTGAACATCAATATTTTTAGCAACCAAATATTCGGCCTTATATTTGACCTGCAAAAATACTCAATGTATTCAATTGTTAATTTGAAGCCATGGGGTTGAACTGAGTAGGAACATCTCAACCTTTTGTTTTTCTTGTCAAAGGAACACTTCACTGATTTATAACTTGTTGTTTTCATTTGAGCCTTTGGCTTAGCTAAACTGTGAGGGTAGGGTGGATCAAGTGGGAGCTGATGAGGAAATGGAGTAAGGAATCTGAGGAGAGGTATATTAATAGTTGCAGAGCTGGGAGGGGGGTCACTGGGGAGCACAGGAGGAAAACCAGGGTTTGAGAGATCAGAGACAGAGGTGAGTAAGTGAGAAGTAAGGAATCAGGCGGTGGGAAGGGGGGTGCAGGAAACCCCATTGTGTGGAGGCTCCAGCCATTTCCTGTTTGTGTGCCAGCTGTACTTCCCTCCTTCCTGTTGTACCCAGGAAGTCAGTGTCACATTCCAGCTCTGATCAGCTCTGTGCCAAAGAGATCTTAGCACATTGTCATCGTCAATATGCTAATATGCTACCATCTTTGTAGCTACCTGGGTCTATTTTTAGGGGTGTTTCAGATGGTACGCATTTGCAAAAGTAGACACATGAAGACTCCATAACCATCCAATAAAACTGCTTATGGTGGGATCATAGTTTCTAAAGATGATCAATCCAAATTGGGGAGGAACATCCAGAAAACCAAGTAACACTTTTTTTCTTTCTGGAAACCATTAGTGGAAAACTAATTGGAGTTATTTTAAACACACATGTCGTCCAGTTTAACCCCTCAGACTTATCAAGTGTCAAAGTGTGGGTCACCTTAACATATTAAGCTTGTTATGTTATGCTTTCCTTCATGGCTCTTGTACTACACAGTACAGTCTGACTTTTAAGTTTTACATGCCAAACATACATTTTCATGTGTCTTTCCTTTACTTTCCCCTCAGCGGTAGAAGAAGGGGAGTCCTCAGAGTGTGGAGGGACCTGGGATGAATCAACTGTCCAAACAGGTGTGCACACACACACACACACACACACACACACACACACACACACACACACACACACACACACACACACACACATACACATACACACACACACACACACACACACACACACACACACACAGAGATAAAGTCATCAAGTTCCAGCAAGCTGTCAGATACACACAAGAGGCTTAAGTCTATACGGTTCTCACACACAGAGACACACACCGTTTGTAATATGAATTCCACATGGTTTATAATGGCCTGCTCAGAGGGATATCAAGGATAAAAAATGAAGTGAAAATAGAGGAGTAAGGGTGGAGGGGTTGGTAAAAGTATTAGGAGAAAGGAAAAACCATATAAGTGAGTAAAGAGGAGATTTGAAGAGAAAAAGAAGAAATGAGAGGAAGATGTGAAAAGAGACAGAGCACTAGTTGGTCTCAGGAGTCGGACTGAATGGAAAGAGACATGACAAAGGGGATATGGAGAGGGAAAGATGGGTGGAGGGGGGGACAAGAGAGAGATTTGTGTGCTTTTTCACTACTCTCTGTGGCCTAGTGATATCCTGGGAGGAAGTCAGAAAGATGGTAGGGCTTTTCTTTTTGTTCTTTTCTTGAGTTTTGCTGTTTCTCCAAACCAACTGCTGTATTTCTTTATCCAGTCTCTCCCTCCCCACTTCTATTCGCTCTTGTTTCCACCATGTGATGGAAATTTGAAATGAATTCTCACTCAACCTTTTTTGGGAAGGAGCAACTGAACCAGCTGTGCTCTGAAGTTCATGCATGTGTCTCAAGATGGATGGCAGATATATGGATTCATTGGATGTGTTTTATTTATTGTATTTTTACTAGGGCTGTCAGTCGATTAAAATATTTAATCGCGATTAATCGCATGATTGTCCATAGTTAATCACACATTTTGTATCTGTTCTAAATGTACCTTAGAGGGATAATTTTCAAGTTTTTAATACTCTTATCAACATATGAGTGGACAAATATGCTTTATGTGTGTGTCACTGTGATGGATTGTTGGAGCTATGTGCAGCTCAAGGCATATGCTCGAATGGGAGCTGCCTGGACGCTGCAATCATGTTGCGCGCACTATCCGTGCCGAGTGTGCTGACTTTTCGTACAATGTCCCACTGTCTGGCTACCTGCATAAAGTGCTCGGCGAAATGTCGCTCCTCTGTTTTCATTGAAACAGCTACTTATATCCGTTAGCGCAGCTCGCTAGCACCAGATGCTAACAACAGCAATACACGTAAGGTATGCCTCGCTCGCTCACGCCACACATACACACACCCTCCCGGTCCTCCCGATGGCCAGTCGGTGCCTGCCGGTGAGCGTGGAAGTGTGGTCTGCCGGGTCTGCCACAAGCGGGCGGCAGGAGCGGGGCTGTCAGCATCAGCTTGTAGATGGTATTTTAAACTCGATGCTCTCTGAAACTACAGGGCGGCCGAGGACAAAAAGTACACATGCGTTAAAATAATTAGTGGCATTCATTTTTTTTGCGTTAACGCGTTAATTTTTACTGAAAATAACAAGTCCAAACTGACTACAGAGGACATATGAGAGTAAGCTTTGAGTGACCCTCATGGTTTACGCAAAATGTGTTAATTAAAGCACACATTTTTTATAACAATACAAAGAAGTGTGTAACCTGACCACTCAGAACTTTAGAATTGTATGGCAGTTTACGGTATTTTTAAACTGTCACTCTAACTTTGAAGTGATTTGTGCCTTTTCGATATAGTCGAAATTCAGCAGATCTATTTTAAGATCATTTGATCCTTGCTGGTTCAGCTCTAATTTACTTGCAACTGATAAGTATTGATTAACCTACGGATTACTTTCTTAAAATAATCGTTTGGTCTTCATAAGCAAACAGCAAAAAAGAATGTGCTCTGCTCAAGATACTAGAGCCCCTAGTGAGATATTCAAATGTTGGCATAAGCCCCCGCCTCCTCACAAGTGCATCTAGATCGAGTGACGTCTAAAGGTAGGGACACACCAAGCTGACACCAAAGAACTGACACAGTTGTGTCGCCTCACGTCTCCTGCGTCTTGGCCATGTGTCGCACTGGAACACACCGCAAAGACTTCAGCCGACGGCCAAGAAGCACTTACGAACTGCGCATGCGTGAGTGGCAATAACTCTCCAGACCAGCAGGCGTCGGTAGTGTGTATTCGTCATTCAAAAGAGGCAACCGGAAGACAGACTGCGTGATACACCGAGAGAAGAAGAAAAGACTGCGTGATATAAACAAACAACAAATAGCGTGTGCGTTCCATTTTCACTCTACAGCGAGAAGCTCATGGGGCTTTCCCGAACCTGTGTCGAGATCTGGAGTTAAATGAAATCTCAGATTTGCCTTCTTAATAGTTTTTTTGGGTCCCTCACTTCCGTTTAGCTTCTCATGCACTGATTCGCTAGCTGAACAGCCAATCAGAGTGATTTATTTGACCGACAGCCTTTGGCCGATTGCCTACCGATTCGACTCGGTAGGTTTTCGGCCAAAAAGGTGTTGGCACGGCCGAAAAGACACAACGGTGCGGGACACACCAATCTGAGTAGGGCGACAGGACACTCATCGTCGACCTGACATCCATCGACGGCCACAATTGGCTTGGTGTGTCCGGGGCTTAATAGATTGAGTTACTGAATAATCGACTCTAGAGTATTTGGGAAACTCTTTTTCAAACTGCTTTAATAAACCAAAGATTCATGGGTAAAGAGTGATGCTTCTACTGGTACCAAATCACAAAGCATAACAAGGCTATTTACCTTGTTCTCACCGTTGTCATTGACACAGTTATGATCACGTTTTACAAACCATGGCAAAACCACTTTGCCTAGCGTAGTTGTTTGCCAGCTGTAGCCACTTTTTCTGCTCTGGTTTGCAGCCTATCAGAGAACAGTTAAACACTTCCTCTGACTAGATCCCTACAGGGACACAAGATACTGCTGCATGTGGTAAATATGCAGTTATCTCTCTCTCTCTCTCTACTTCTGCTGCCCTGTCTCTCGTTCAGCTCTACGGGGATAGAAGGAGGGGAAAGTATGACCCTAGGGGTGTCTATGACGTCCTAAATCCTCCCATCCTCACCCCCCTTCCTCCTCAGACCTGTACTAACACTCCTCCAGGGGTACCGTGTGTGTGTGTGTTAAGGGGGGTGCTGACTGAGGTCCTGGGTGGCTCACTAGAACTGCTGTGTGTGTCAGTTCCTGCAGGAAGCTAGAGTCCCATGACACACACATGCACACACACACCTATCTCACACTCTTCCTACCATAAAAACACGCTGTCCCATATTCCCTTACTCAGCCACTCTTTCAATTTGAATCCTACCATCAATTCCCTCTCCATCCATCTCTTCTCCTTTCTTTCTCTGTCTCTTTCTGCTTCTGCTTCTGTTTCCTCATTGTCTGTCCCTATCTCTGTCTCTCTTCTTCTGTCTCATACCTTTTTTTTCTCTACTCTTTATCCGTGCTCCCCTTAGAGTTTGTGGGAGTGTGAGAAAAGGAGTGAGAATTGCTGCCTATCCCTAATTCAAGCAGACCTTGTTTCCTTTACTCCCAGGGAGATGGTGTCCACAAGGACAGAGTGGGAGACTAACACAGAGAAGGGAGAAAAATAGTGTCCCATACTTTTGTTAAATTCACAAACTTCCAGCCCTCCTTTTTCTTTTCTCAACTTTTTTTTCTGTCTCTGGAAAATGTGTGTTGAATTTGGACAGACCCGCGGGAGGGAAGGCAGAGGGAGGTGGGAGGGTGACTCAAAGGGGAATAGCATCGAGCCAACCTACTCTCCCCCTTCCCTACATCGCCTCCTTCCTCCTTTCCTCCCTCCTGCCCCAGAGAGGTGCCTTCGGAGGTCGAAGGTGCCCCAACACACTCTGTCTCTCTTTTCCCTTTTGCCACCCCTCTGTGGGACAGAAAAACAACTTGTCCCCTAGCGTCCTCCCCTTTTTTCCGTCTCTTGTTCCCTTGCTCCCCTGGTGTGCTGGGAGAATAAAAAAAGGATGAAGTTGCCAAGGACAGAGAAAGGGAACGGTTGAGAAAAAGTTGGAAATTGCAGGTAGCAGCAGGGTTGCCAGAGTTCAGACTTTAAAGTATGTTCATTGTCATAAAGGAGAATAAACCCGGCAGCAGACACATGTCTAACCAGACAAGAGTACACTTCAGAGGTGTGTGTTTGCCTTGAAATCCTACTCTCTTTCTCTAGAGTTTTGTTTTTCTCAACTCTTGTCTTCTATGGACTACATGTACACACTCTTGCTGTTTCTCTTGGACAACACACACACCGAGACACATACAGAAAGAGCCAGTGAGTCATCATGGAAAAGGTTTGTCAGGTCCCCAAGCTGAAACTGAGAAACCGAGACCTTACTGCGTTATTGTTCTTCACAGCTTAAGTACTGTGTGTGTGTGTGTGCAGATGTGTGTGAGTATGTGGGGACGCAGCCATCACTGGCTGGCCAGAAACATGTCCCCACCTAGCAGATGATAGAAAAGTGTATTTGTGTGTGTCAGATAAGAGGTGGATACATTCAGTTTACAGGCTATTTTCCTTAACAAACGTAAATGTTTTGTCTTCTCATAGATCCAAACAACAACAAATATGTACATTGCATTTTCACAGTTCTAGGTATGGCCTTGAATAGTTGACTATTCAATCTTAGGAGCCTGATTCCACTACCAATCTCAAAATGTGTTTATAAATGAAAGGATTACGCCATTTTTGGGTAAAGGCAGGTGCTGAATATGGGGATGAAGAATGGTTTCTCCCAATACAGAAATATAGATATGAAGCCTATTTAAGTATTAAACTCAGCCTATTAACAATATTGTTACAACCCAGGGGTTTTCAATCAATCACAATAGTGAATTGAAAGACCATCGTAGCAACCTCTTGACGATAGCTGTTCTTTTTTGAATGATAAATGAGAACAACAAGATAAGGGCCGTTTCTCAATGTCGAGTATACCTGCTGCAGAGCCACTATTTCAAGTATACTACGT